AACACACTGAGGCTTATATTAATTATAAACTGTTTAGCTGAAGGCTCAGGTTTCTTATTGGCTAGCTCTCTCTTAATTATTAACCCATTTCTATTAAAATATGTATTGCCACAAGGCTGTTGCTTACCTGTAATGCTCTGGCATGTTACTCCTTTGGCAGCTACATGGCATCTCTCTGGTAGCTCCCTCTCTGTGTCTTTTGTCCTGCCTGGTCCCATGGGGAGAGGGTTGTTCTTCAAGGTTCCTGCTTCATTAACTAATGAACAATGTCTCAAAAATTGTGTGTGTGTGTGTGTGTGTGTGTGTGTGTGTGTGTGTGTATGTGTGTGTGTTTGGGGGCTGGAGAGATTGCTGAGTAGTTAGGAGCACTGATTGCTCAAGAAGAGGATCTAGGTTCAGCCTATGGTCTGAAGATGGATGCCCCAACGTCACAGAGAAACTTTGGGTGACTGTCCAGGCAGCAAGATGTCTCTGTCAGTTCTAGAGCTTATAAGAGTTTATATATTATCCTTCTGAGTTCTTTGATGGAGTTGAAGACAGATAGTTATGCTTATGACTTTCATTAGTTATGGTAAAAGATAAGTTACGTATTAAACTTTAGACTCACAAAGATAGGGTAGATGATAGAATATTTTCTTTAAATTTTGTCAAATGTTAATGAACTAAATACTGTTAACTATGGTTCTTGCTTGACAACTGCTTTGTTATATTTTTACTATTTCAAAATTAAAACCTTTTTCATTTAGACAGAAAAGAGGAGCTGATGGGGGATGTCCTTCTGTGTGCTGTGAATATATACTTTTCTTATTGGTTGATAAAATAATGCTGATTTGCCAGCAGCCAGGCAGGAAGTGTAGGTGGAACTATCAGATGAGGAGAATTCTGGGAAGAATGCAGAGAGGAGCCTCCAGGGAGATGTCATGTAGCTACTGGGAAGGCAGGATGTCATGTGAAAATACATAGATTAATAGTTATAGGTTAATAATTAAGAGAGAGCTAAACAGTAAGAAGCCTAAGCCATCTACCGAACAGTTTATAATTAATGTAAGCCTCTGTGTGTTTATTTGGGACTCAAGGGCTGCGGGACATGGTGGAACAGAAATGTCCATCTTCACTATAATGAAATAAAATAAAATCCTATTGACTCCATTCATCTAATGTGGTAAAATATATAACCCAAACAAGGTCCCTTAGAACAAGTTTCTAATAACCATGGTGGGGGTACTTCTTTATCCTAGCATTAGAGAAAGGCAGGCAAGAGGATTGTTACAAATTTCTGGCCAAGCTGAACTACATAGTGAGTTCAAAGCCAGACTGGCCTATATAGAAAGATCCTTCCATAAAAATATGGTTTATATTAAAATACTCAGCAGCACACTATTATGTATTATGATACTTGGCGTTTGTGTTGGGCTGATTCCTAGTGACAGTTGTAAAACATTCTGTCTTAGAGTATTTTATTGCTGTGACTCCTATAAAGAAACATTTAATTGGGGTGTCTTGCTTACAGTTTCAGGCTTTCAGTTCAGTAGCATCCTGGCGATGGGGGGTGAGGGTGGGGGAGCATGGTGGCGTGCAGGCAGACGTGGTGCTGGGGCTGAGAGTCCTGCATCTTAACTCAGAGCAACAGCAAGTCTACTTACTGTCACACTGAGTGAAGCTTGAGAAAAGAGACCTCAAAGCTTGCCCCCATAGTTGACACACTTCGACATCAAGGCCACACTTCCTAATAGTGCCCTTTGGGGGCCATTTTCTTTCAAACCACCACATATTCCATGTGAAAACACAGATATGCATTGATGTGAACACATATATCAGGTAAATATAAACAACCTGAATCAGGAATCAGAAGAGAGGGGGGGGGATCTTCAAATGAGCTGAGCAGTGATAGTACAATCCCAGCACTCCAGAGGCAGAAGCAGGTAGGTCTCTGAGTTCAAGACCAGCCTGGTCTACAGAGTGAATTCCAGGACAGCCAAGGTTACACAGAGAAACCCTGTCTTCAAAATCCAAAAAGAAAATCGTCCTTCAAATGAGGCAGCTTGAAATCACTGTTTCAAACATCTATATTAAAATTCCTCTGTCTCATATAGGTGTATTTGCTGTTAATCCAAAAATTCATGAGAAAGAAACAACCAAGCCCATGATTGTCTGAATTAAAGCAAGCCATATTTGGGGGTACCCAAAGCTGGCCAGCTGGCTGTCCCCCTCTAAGTCGGGGTGGGGGTGTTTAAGAACAGCCCCCACTGGCCTCTCTAAGTCCCTTTTATAGAAGGATAAGGTATTCACAAGGAGTGGTGGGGTTGGCAGCTGTCTATTGTCAAAAGGATACAATAAAAGGGGAGCAATAAAGGCAAGGATACATACCAAAGGTAAGAATACACATCAGGTGAATGGGGACTCCAGTCAGTTTACATTAGACCAGGAACTGATTCTTGATTACAAATAAAAAAACCTCAATTAGCAGGGACTTGACATAGGACATATCTCTTAGCTAGTAACAGGCAGGAACTGTTTTTGACTATAAACAGAACTCTGTACCTGCAAGGTATGTTCTTGGTTTCAGTTTCCATTAACCTGTGAGGTATATTTTTGGTTTTACACTTACTGCAGAAAGAGAATTATCTCCTAAGAAAAAAATGTTTTGTTTGATAATTCATTTCTAAAGAGAAGCTTGCCAGCCTCTTCTCACTTGAAAATAATTAAACTATACTGCTAATGCACTATGATTAAATGCGACCATACCTTTTTATTGAACATAGTGACATATGACAGGTTTGGATTGGAATTAATTTATACATCAGGAGGTAAAGCTCTTTGTGCATTACTTTATTCTGTGCTACATCCAGTGCCCAGGGTCTCGGACATACAAGGCAAGAATTCCCCCACTGGGCAATGGAAACAGAATCTTGGTAGGTGACCAAGCTGGCCTTGATCACACTCTGCAGTCTAGGCAGAACTTACGTGGTAATTTAAGAAAAACAGTGCCCTTGAGAAAGATGGCAGCAACAAGGTTCAATCAGAGGGTTTTTTTCTTAAATCAGGGAAAGGGACCATAAAAAGAGGAAAGAGAAGGGGGGGAGACCAGCCTCTGGAGACAGGAGCAGCAGGAGAGAGGAGAAAGGGAAGGGGGAGAGAGGAAAGAGGGGGAGGGGGGGAGAGTGGAACAGAGAGAAGGATAGAAAGAGAGAGGGGGATGGGAGGTGGGCAGGGCCCTTTTAGAAGGGAACATAGTGAATGCTCTTAGTGGCAGTAGCTGAGGACATATCCTGTCAGAATCCCAAGGGCAGGCCAGTACAGATGTCTGAATACTAATACTTGAAATGGTGATCATCCTGTATTAGCCTTTTAAGCAGCAGATATTACATATAGGTAATTGTGTAATTTATAATTAAAGTCACTCGTTCATGGCACAGCAGATTAAATTGCAATTGCCCAGAAAGAGAAAATGCTTATCTGTAGCCTTGTAATAATGGAGAATGGACCCTAATGGAGCTCCTTTAAACAAGATCTGAATAGGTACATTAACAATAGGGCTATGGAGACAGTACAGATGTAGAATGCTTATCTAGGATGAGGAAAATCCTAGGTTTGAACCTCAGCAACACAGATGGGGAAACACACACACACAATAAATTGGGAAAATAGTTCTTTTAAGGGTATGTTAATTGGAATAGAAGCCAAGGAACTGAAAAAGTCTGGCAGAAAAGAGTTGGATTATGGGGTTACCCTTTACCAAGCTGGGTGTAGGATTAATTGAAGTAATTTGGGGAAGACTTCCAAAATTAATGTAGCAGCTGTGAAACTGCTTCAGCTGGAGAACTTGAATGTGTCCTTTTCCTCCCTGTCTCTCTGTGGTTTAGGAACATACAGACACAGATGTATTCTCTCTCTCTCTCTGGTTTAGGAACACACACAGACACAGACGTATTCTCTCTCTCTCTCTCTCCCTCCCTCTCTCTCTCATGTGTATATGTATATGGACTTGCACATATGCATAGATGTGTGTATGCCTGATAAATTTAAAAGAACTCTGAAGTGCATTGGTGCACTGCCACTAAATCCCTGAAAGCAGTAGAAGCAATGAGCTGCTACTGTTCATGTTCAGTATGAAGTGTGCTCAAGTTCATGAGCTGCAGACAAGCAGGTTTTCCAGGCTTTGCTCCCTCCTCCTGGAGGCTGAAGTCAGCTTTCCTCACAGCTCTTGAGAGCTGGAAAAGTATGGACAGTCTGCTATGTGACAGCTCAGGTCAAAGGAGGGCAGTATGGAGCCCCAAATTACTTATTAAATAAATTATCCTAAACTCATAAGATGGGGAATTTGGAAAAGAACAAGTCCTGGTCTGTGGGAAGAGAGGTGGAACGTTTATCGCAATTAAGGAGCTTTAAAAAACCATTGTCTTGCCCCAGATCACCAAGCCAGCTACTTTCACTCTTCTTGGCGCTTATGTCCCCTTTCTGCAGAATTATACATTAAAAGTGACTTCGTTTTCACAAGTCTCTTGAATTTATTACTATATTTTTGACAGTGGTCATGATAAATGGGTCTTCACTGTTCTTGAAACCTGTGGATGTTCACTCCACTTCCGGTTTACTCTGGATGAAAACTTAAGACATCTGTCTGCAGAGACTGACTGAATACAATCTGGGTACTGTTAAGAGACTGGAATGTTGCAGGCCAGACACTAACGACCTTGCCTTGGACTAACTTTAATCTAGGAGAGCAGCCATCTCTTGCCCACCTCTGTGTCAAAACTAACACCCTGTGACTAACATGTTAAAAACCCTTGGAATCTATCGACTTAGCCGACCCACTGACTTCTAGCAACCCCAAAGCTAAGAATGTCAGATAGTATCTCAAGGCCAATTAAAAAAAAAAAAAGGCGTCCACCTTGTTTGTGACTGCCTCTCTGATATATCTACCGATGTAGTTTATACTTCCCTTGATTTTATTTGTGAAACTATGACTGCTTCCACGTTGGAACATGGCATTTGGGGTAACCTAAATCGGTGTTCCCCGGGTCAAGGTCACTTGGGAAGGCTCCGGACGAAACGATCTCATTCCCTTTAAGCTGAGAGCTGTGCTTCCGTATTCTTCTTCCAACAGTGCTCCTGGCAAGACGATTCGGTTCTTCCTAAAACAGCGACGGTGCAGCCTCGGTTGGAATTCCAGTTTCAAAGCTTGATTTCCTTACCTAAAGTTCGCAGCAGCACGGCCCGCCCGAGCGACTTTTGGCCCTTGGAATGTGGGCAGCGCCGCTGCCCGAGCGACTTTTGGCCCTTGGAGTTAACCCGAGGGACTGTTCTTCCGGCATCCCGGGGCGTGGCCCGCAGGTGAGCGGGCGAGGCGGTTCTGCGGTCCAGGTAAGCCCGGCAGGTGCACGCGCCCTTCCCCTGGACCAATGGGCAACGCCGGTGCCCCGAGCCTCTCGGGCAGCACCGCGCTGCGCCCCGGCGATTGGCTGGGCCGTGGGTCACCGCCCGAGTGCCCCGGAGCAGGAGCGCAGCGGTCGGGGAAGCGGCGCTTGCGGGGGCTGCGGGGGGCGCCGGGGCCGCTCAGTCTGGACGTGGGCCGAGGCTTCCGGGGAGGGACCTCAGGCCACCATGAACAGCGAGGGCCACTACACTTTCAGGCGGGTGGCGATCCGGCGGAAGTCAGGCGCCTACCTGCCGCCCGGGATCCCGCGGCCCTGGAGCAGGCCTTTGCCGCCCTGGCGGAGCGCTGAGTGCGTCGCCGTCCCGGGCCAGGCCGCAGGTACGCGTTGGCGGGCTGAGGGGCGTGCCGTGGGCTGGGTGGGCGTGCCGTGGGTACGTGGGCTGGGAGGGCGTGCCGTGGGTGCGGGGAGTGCTGGGCTGGCTGGGGCGGGCTGCCGTGGGTGGGGCGCGTGCCGTGGGTGCGTGGACTGGGAGGGCGTGCTGTGGGTACGTGGGTTGGGTGGGCGTGCCGTGGGTGCGTGGGCTGGGGGATGTGCCTTCGGGGGCGTGCCGTGGGTGTGTGGGAGGGGGCTCTTGGGCCAGCCGCCAGCAGCGTTGATGGCGCCCTCTCCTGTTGGAAAGGAACCTCTGGGTTAGCTATCCTAAGGACTAGCGATCTTCCTAGTTTGTTCTTTCTTCTAAAGCTGCTTTAGCAAGAATATAACCAGCTTGATGGCTAAGACCTCTAAGTGGCCAAAGCAAAAGTCCAGGCTCCCTGGTCTCCTAAAGACCAAGAACCTCTGTCCTTGTTTCCAATGTGGTCAGGAGGTTCACTGGGTCAAGGTCTGTCAGAATCCTCATAAACCACCCAGACCATGTCCAAGGAGCCATCAAGAAGGACACTGGAGTGTTGATTGTCCCTATGTCCTTCGTGGCATGAGGACATTAAGCTCAGATCACCTTTCATCTGATTTACTTGGTTTGTCCATGTATGACTGATGGGGACCGGGCTCCCTTGGGCTGACCACCACCATCTCTGACAGGGAGCCTCAGTAGTTATCACAGTATCAGGGCAATTCATCTCCTTCCTTCTGGACACCGGAGTCACTTTTTCACTCCTGTCGGTGTTCTGGCGACTCACTTCTCCCCCTCGTTCCTCTATTTTAGGAGTACAGCCTTACCATTCTGACCAAACCCCAGCACGTAGCTATATCTTTAGGAGTATTCCCCTTACCCATTCCTTCCAAGTGGTGCCAACCTGTCCTGTCTTGTTGCTGGGAAGGGACCTCCTAGCCAAAGTGGGAGCCTGTATCTCTGACTCCCCCATCCGATTGGCCCCAGGTTCGCCAGCTGTTTCCCTCCTCCTTCTCCAAACCACACGATCTGACATGCCTTTTCCCTTATTGCCCTCTTAAGTAAATCCTCAGGTATGCGGCACCCAAAACCACTCTATAACCAGACATCACTCCCCTTATCATTCATTTACAAAACCTCACCAAATGAACCACCCAGGCTCAATATCCTCTTTCTTCCCAAAGCCTCAGGGCACTTAGGCGCTCATCCCTGACCTAAGAAAAATCCTTCTGCTCTCCACTTCTCCCTTGAATACCCCGATACCCAGTTAGAAAAGCCAGTGGAACCTACCTCTTGATTCAGGATCTCTGACTCGTTAACTCAGCCATAGTTTCCCTTCGCCCCATAGAGCCAGTGCTTTAACGTTTCAAAATGACTCCTAAGCTGTGTACAGACCATTTGTTTGTGCTGGCCTCTACCACTGATCATATTGGTTCCAAATTCTTCAACCGCTTCTTCCTCCACCCACTCCGAGCATCCGTCTCCCCTACTTGGTAACGGTTCTCTCTCTGTGGCTCCTGGAGCCTGCTACACCCTCGGGGGCCTCACCATGTGGGCAACTGTCGGAACCTTCCCTGTCTTCTGGCCTTCTCCCACCAGGAGCTGCCTATTAAGGCCCCCCTCCCCAAGTCTCTTTAATGACATCTGGGCCTCTGTGACCCTGTCTCTTCTGTCTCTCAGCTCCCACTTGGAGCTTACAGAAACTCCTCCAGTGGAGTTCACTTTGTGACCCTCTTCCTCTTCCTCCACAGACTCCAATTGTATTAAAGCCTCACAATGGCCTCAGTACAGGTCAAATGGCCAAAATTGGCTTCTTCAATTTTCAATGATGACAACTTCTTCCACTGTACAAACAAATAATTCAAATTCTCTAAACCTGCTTTCTTCTCCGTTTCTTCTCACCTCTACCTCTCTGGAGTAGCTCTTACATATAGATGTTTATCATCCAAGAGACCCTTACCTCTAAGAAACACCCCATCCTAATAGGATCAGGGAATTACTCTATTACCAGGCTGAGGAAAGGCTGATTCAGCTTCCTATAACTCCTTTATCCATCTCTCCTTCACTGGGGTTTACCCTCATGCCTGTTTCTCTCTTGTGTGATAATTCCTGTCCTGAAAACAAAAATCATAAGAGCAGGGTTCATGATAGAATTTTAAAAACAAAACAATGATTGTTTAATAATGTATTAAAGCTGCACCTTCATGTACTCATACAGGAGCAGACCTCTTGCTGGTAGCCAACTTTGTAATGTAAGAGTCACCTAGGTGGTATCAGTTTTAAAAGACATGAAGGGGTCATGGAGAGAAACTGAGATACAGCACTGTGTGACAGGATTGGATTCCTAAGAGAACCCAGGAAACTCTACTGATGAAAATTCAGCCCCGTTGCAATAAGAGTCCCCAAAAAGCGTTATAAAGGTCTGAGGACATGAAAGCTTAAGTAAGCACTGAGGATAACAAGTTCTGAGGGTCTAAGAAAGTGCTGTCTGAGGTCATGAAAGTAAGTAAGCGCTGAATGTATAAGAAAGTGTCACGTACTGAAAGTTCTGAAGGTATAAGAAAATAATCTATGGTGATGGAAAATGTTTCGTATTTCTTTCCTCTCTCTGCTATTGTTAAACTTATATATATGGTTCAACCAGACCACTTGTACAATGGGATCCAGAGACTGCTCACCAGCAGGTTGCCAAAAGGAGATACTTATCCCTGTAACACCTAAGTCAAATTCTAAAATACCTGTCCCTCCCAGATTCTTTCCTTCTCTATGATAAAACTAGAGGTTACTGTATATGTTGGCCAGATGTAGACTGCTCTTAGATATCCTATAACAGATAAGATCTGACAATTTCAGACAGGCCCCTCTTCTCTCTCTGGAGGTTTTCTAAGAGGCATCCCAAGAGGGAACGAGAGGGTATGGCCAACACTGTTCCCATGGAAGAGAGGGCCGAAGGAAAAGGTCACTGCAGCCTGTAGTCTCAGTCGTCCCAAGGATTCTGGGAGGACCAAATGAGGACCAGACCATTCAGACAGTTGTCACCCAACTCAGTGGGGGTCAGGCTTAGTCTGGCTGAGCCAGAGGAGACCAAGGAATATCACAGGTCACAGTACGTATAGCAGCTTACAGCCCTGCTCCAAGAAAAGACTTCCCCGATGTAACAGCTCTGCTCAGGCAGGAGAGGGTTTCTCCAGCTCCTGGGAAAGGCTTTTCTTCCTATTTGGTGTTGTTCCTACTAATCCTCATTTAAAGTAGTTTCTTTCTTTCATTTTCCTGTTATCTATGAAGTATCTGCATTGATGACAATATTGTGCTGCAAACAGTTTCCAGGAAAAACAATCTTGTGTGTGAAGTTTAACTACTTGGTAAAGATTCTACAAGGTCGATTGACTGATAAGAGAGTTTTTAGTGATTTCCCAGAGCCAAATTATCTTGAGTTTCCAACGGTTGATGAATTGAAAGTTAAACCAATCATTTGCTCCTTGAGTCTTTAGGGACTTGCCCCTAAAAAGGCTTTCCCATTGAGGGGCATTGCAAATACTTGTATGAAGTTGGGAACAAGACGCAACTGCTGTTTTCTGGAAAGTTTTTTAACAATATAGTGTAAATTTCTCAGCTCTCTGTCTATCCTATTTTCTTCTCAGCAATGCTTTTTACTGTAAACCCAGAGGTGGAGGAGTGGAGCCCAACTTGAGAATTTTCAGAGGGAACAAGGTTTCTGTTGGCAACTGGTCTACAGACTGACTGTACATGTGCTATTTTGGCAAAGAATCTTCCTGTTTTCTGCCCTTGTCCTAAAAATTTACACAGGACTGAATTAAAAAAGAAATGTGCTAGTTTCTTTGGCAGAGGAACTGTCAAGACAGCGTAAGTAATGAAGTCCTATAGTCAAGAGCAAATGGGACTAAAGAAATACAGAGAAAAAAAGAGCATGTTAAGGGGATTAATGCCATTAAGTGACTATTTCCTGCATTGGGAAGGTGCCTTCAGGGTAAGACCCGCTTCTAGCTGAGCTACAGGTTATGAAAGGGGAAAGCCCAAGGGGTGGCTTTCATCTAGCAAGCAATCGCTTTAACATACAGAAGCTGCTGTTAATGGATTCAAAGGAGATAAGTGTCTACCCCAAGTTGGTAGCCAAATTTGACAGTGTCGTTTATGTGAAACTGGCTTTGGAGGCAAGAAACATGCAGGAGAAAAGGGCCTTGTGGATTTACTCTCCACAGTTTCAGAGAGCTGCTGTGGCCAGGCGGTACATGGCTGTGTGGTTCCTGTGAAGCAGTGATAGGCCATTTCATGAGACCGTGAAAGTGAAACCTGGGCTTTGGTGAAGCCCCCGAGACGTTTGAGATGCCAGAGCCATGAGAAACCTGCCAAGGAGAACTGCAGATATGGAGTGAAACCAGCCCAGCAGGCCGCAAAGCTGAAGGGTGAAGTGTTGCACGAGTTCGAGTTGGTTTTAATAATAAAAAAGTAATAAAAACCCAGCTGAAGGTCAGAGAAGCAAAGGGGCCAGCCACTAGAGAGTTCTTAGCTCTACCAAAGCTCAGACCAAAGGGGCGATCCTGTCCTCAGATTGCCTTCTGTCCAGACTGCATCTG